ATCATCCTCTGTGTTAGAAAGATTTGTATACAAATATCTATATCCTCCATGAAGTTTCTAACGGTATGTGACATATTTAATAAAACACAATATTTCGATATTTTTCAAGTAATAACACTCACGTGTAAATGAAATGAATCTTTTTTCTCTTTATCTACTTTCTCAATTCCCCTGAATATCGTATAATAGTTATTTTCCTATTTTTTTTTTAAATTCATGTAACGCGTCCAGAGGAGAAGATGAAAGCTGAAAAAAGTTGTAATAAAAACAAGCTTTCTTTTGTCATTTTTTTTTCTTTTTTCTATGTATCTTTGTCTGTTAACCCTGTGTGGAACAATAAACTTATATGCAAAAAAAAAAAAAATTATCAGTGATTCCATCTAGAAGATCAATTGCTTCTTTTGTACGGTTTTCTTGAGTATACACGTTGGCTAAATTGAAATTAGATAATGGTAAATCATTTGGGCAAAATTTCTGACGTAGAAGAGAACCATTTTTAATTTCAACGTGTGCTTGATTAAAATTTCTCCGTTTTGTATGAATATTTGCAAGAGCATCATAAATAGTACATAATATTGAACAGCATTTTGATAGTGAAGTTTCTGCAGAATCTAATGTTTGCTCAGTATTGTTTAAACGTTCATGTAATGTCGTTTTGACTTTTTCGAACATTTCAAGTGCTTCATCCATTTTATTTAGTTTTTCATAGATGCGACCAATGTCTATGTAAGTTTCAGAAGTTATTGAATGATATTTCGGTAATTCTTTTTCAAGAATTACTAAAGCTTCTGTTAGATTTTGAAGAGCAATATCGAATTTTCCTTTGTGGAAGTTCAGACGACCACGTATGCGTAAATCGTTCGCTATGTGAATATTCTCATCAGAAGATAACTTACTGAAGAGTATTTTTGCTTGATTTAAATGTTCTTCTGCGCTTTCGAATTGCTTCAATTTAATAGAAACGCCGGCTTTTGTTTGATGTAACTGTGCCATTATAATGGAATTTTCCGGCGCTAATTTGAGACCTTGTTCAAGATTTTGTAATGCTTCACGCAATTGCCTTTTATCTACACAAACTCTTGCAATACTTTGGTATAATCTAGAAAGTAAAGGTTTTGATTGAGCTGAGAACTTCAATACTATATCAATTGAGGACCGATAATAAGAAATTGCCTTATCAAGTTGACCCATTTCATAAAATATATCACCAAAGCACTCGTGAATCGAAGCTAATTTAATAGATCCGGATTGACATCGATTCTCAGACATTTCACAGTCGTTTAATGCTTGACAATAATCAAATTTCGCTAGATGGTATCTAGCGAGAGTCATGTAAGTATCACAAATATTGTTTGCCATTCCTTCTGGAATTTTCAATCGAATCTCCAATGCTTGAGAAAGAAAATAAAAACTCTCGTCGAGTAAATTCAGCTTAAGGTGAATAAAGCCGAGACCAGTCAATGTTGCACCTAGACAATCAGCATCGACATCTTTCCTCTTTGATTCAATTTTGTAATGCCTTGTTCAGATTGTCTTTAGCTTGTTCATAGTCACCTACTTGTATAAATAAGTCTCCCATATTACTGTATATCATTCCTAAACGAGGATGATCAGCATCATAAATTTGATTAAACATAGCAGCAGCTTTCTTATACGTTTCCAATGCTTTCTCATTGTCATATTTCATCATATGTAATAATCCAATATTACTCAATGTTGTTGCTGTTAATAGATGAATTGCTGGTAATGATTTTTGTTGATGTTCCCGTGCTAGATTATAATATTTCAAAGCTTGATCATAGTCATGTTGTAACTGTTTAGTATAAGCTAGATTATTAAGAAGAGTAGAGTAAGTTGGATGAAGTTTAGGTAATATATCGGATTTTGTAAGAATATCCAATGACTTTTCATAACTTTCATATGCTTGATCAAACTGAAGTGTTTTTCGATATACCAATCCTAAATTAGAATGTGTTTTTGCAACTATATGTGATCCAAATGAATGAGTCGTGCTCATTTGAAGAATTTCGTTAAGTAATTTCATTGCATCAGTATAATTATTTTTTTCAATCTGAAGTAAAGCCATACATTCATAAAAACTTGCAAGCATATTATAGTTTGTTGTTGAAGTAAGTTGCGCTAGTTTTTGAATTTCTAAAAAACATCTTTCTGCTTCATTAAAATCACCATTGATATGTAACTCAGCTTGACCTAATGCCAAATAAATCTGTGAACGTTCGACCCTTGTAAGTGAAATCTTTTTTAGTAATGTTTCACTATAATGTACTACTCTCTGATAATCATTCATATTGAGAAATATATCAATTAAGTCGATAAATGTGGGCTTTGAATCAACAGATTCTCGTAAATATTGAGAAAATCTTACAACATCTTCATCATTATGTGTCACCAAGGATAGATCAATATGCCATTGAGTTTCTGATAAAGCATGTATTGAATCAATTCGAAAAATACTTCCAATTGAAAAGAGCACTTCATTTTCATCTGTCATGTTACTTGCTACGGATATGTCAGCAAATGGTTCAGTTAAATATGTTTGTTTTATTTTAATTACAAATAGAACTGATTCTAATTCTGGTCGATTTTCACCATTGCCACTAAACAATGGAGCAATACTTTTGTGAGTTGTTGTTGATAAAAATGTATTCATAGCAACAAATCCATTAATATTTTGCTTTAATTTTTCAAATTCACTTTTGGGTAATAATTGTCCGCGATAGACTTCAAATACATTTTTATCTGCAGAAGAGAATAGCTGATCAACATAAGTTTGATGCATTGTTTTGAGTTGTTGATGAAGATCAGCAATAAACGAACGAAATTTATAAATGACTTCAAAATTTTCACTTCGTAAGGCTCCATTTAATAATCGATAAAAGAATGAATCCTTTGTATACCACTCAATCGCTTTATCAATGGTATAAATCTTTCGAAATTCATTAATTTTGGCCAATTCTCGTTTATTATTAATGTAGTGCTGTCGTGCGAAATGTAACATATCTTTTTTAGCCCTTTTTCCATGCTTCATATTGCATAAAATATGCATTAAAAAATGCGACCAAATAAATAATCCACCATCTTCATTTAATTCTTTAATAGATTTTTGCATTGCACGAAAATCCAATGCTCTTATAGGCAACATTTTGAATAAACAGCTACGTATATCTTCTTTAAGCACCTTTAATAATTCATCTTTATTGTTGTACACACCACAAATCTTTTTACAATTTTTTGTCCATTGTTCGTGAAGTTATTTTTCGAAACAAAATACATAAATTGAATTTATTGTTGGTAAATGATGAATTGTATCAACCAATCGATCACCATCAATTCCGGATATGATTAGAAAGATCTTTTCTTCTTTTATTGATAATAGATAATCTTTCCAAGTAGAAAAATCATCAAATACTTCAACATGGTTAATTACATTACGTAAACGCTCTTGAAACTTGATACAATCTTCTGACTGGTTGGCAGACGTGTCATACTAAACAGTGATTGTATCTTCGAGATTTTGATGTTCTTTAAACTTTAGTGTTTGTGAAAAATCGGATCCACTTACAGTTGGCATATTGCTAAAATATAAATCTGAAATAGAAAATAGATAAAAGAAATATAATGAAGAATAATTCGAGTATAATCGTAATAGCATACTACAAAATTAGACACAATACAAACCATTACGTATTTGTATTATTGATGCTACAAAAATGTTTTGTATGAATGTAGCTATATGAATCAACCATTTTTCTTCATATCTCTCTGATAAAAACAGAAATCTCAATAACAAAATATTAATTTCAAGGTTATTGTGTACTTTAACACATGCATAAAATTACGATCTTTCCTAACTAACCGTTCGTTAAGTTTTTTTAAAATATGTTTGTCTTTTTTTTTAAAAGAGAGGATAAAAACAGCTAACTGTGATCACATTTTCATCAGTGCAAAAAACAAAACCTTGAATGATGTCAATATGAATACAATACTTAGATAAATATCGATATTTGGGCTGGTCTGTCTTCTCATCAATGGTAATCATCGTGTACACATTTGTTATTTCACTTCAGCAACGAATGATCAAGCGAGATTTCTGTATTTACTTAAAAAATGAAATGTTTATGCTGAAATAAATGTGGAATATTTTAAGAAACAAAATGAACCAAGTAGAAAACACTTTAATTCCTATTTGAGTACGTTTTCCGTCGACAGAAATCTGTCTCATATTCGCACAATACACTTCATACATCAAGGAAATAATTTTTATCGTATATATATATACATGCATACAAACTATAACATTAAAGTATTGAATATTTTTAGCTGTTGTCAAAAAAGAAATTTACAGAAGAATAACGAAAACCTATTCATATGACGATTCACAAGAATTTAAAAAAATCTTAGGTTCATTTTATTTATACTTTTTTAATAATTAATATTTTATTCAAATTAGACAAATGGTTTTACTAACATTTAGAGAGAGAGAGAGAGAAAATATCCCGAGGCAGTGCTATGAGTATCGATGCGTTGATAAACTAAACATTATAAAAATAGACTTTTACTATAAATGTTCTTTATTTTGATCGTCACAAGCTCTAGAAATGCAAATTCGATGTATACGGAATCATCACTTACTTGAATACAACCTATAAATGCTACAGTGAATAAAAGAAAACAAGAATAATTAGAGTCAATTCATCATTATTTAAAAGTTCAGTTCACTATGAATAATTCACATTGTTAAAAATGATACAATCAATGGTAATACCATACATTATCTTACTTTTATTTTCTTCTTGCTTCTTCTCTATTTTTCAAAAATAAACAACGAATAACAAACAAAACAAAAAGAAAAACAAGCAATACATATCGCTATTTTGGTATGATGTCAAGAACCCATGACTCATGCTATCTATAGCAGATTTGAAAGCGGCTAATGCACTTTACATATGAACATCGGGCAATGAATTCTATGAGATGAAAATATATGAAAAGATAGGGAATTATATTTTGATTCAAACACAATACCTCTCGTTTGGGGCAAATTTTTCCGAGACCTGTTTGAGGCAAAATAATTTTAGATAGTACTGGCCTCTATATTTTATTCTTCCAATTGGTGTAACAAATAAATCACATTTCTTTCAATCGAATAGATATTCAGTTTTATTTATTATTTCACTTGTGGGTGTGGGTGGGTGTGGGTGTGGGTGTGGGGTGTGGATGTGAGTATCGGTTTTCTGTTCATTTCGATCGAAACCCATACCCACACCCACACCTATCCACACCCACACCCACACCCACACACCCACACACCCACACACCCACACCCACACCTACCCACACCCACACACCCACACCCACACCTACCCACACCCACACACCCACACCCTGCAACACATCATGTTATGATTCGTGGTATATTTCTTTTCTTTTTATCCTACAATATAGACATTTTTTTCTTTTAAGATAAGTAACTAATCACGTGCGTAATTAAATCGAAAGTTCGACCACCAACATGAAAATATGAATTATCATCAGCTGCTTCTCTTCTTATTAAAAAAACAAAACAAAATGTCGTCATTGTTTTTCTACTCATTTTAATCTGAGAGAAGAAAAAAGAAAAGAAATAAAAGAATATATTAAAATAGAAACAATTTCATCTTTATTATTATGCTTTTAGATTAATTTTTAATCTTTTGCTTTAAATTAATTATTTGTAATGGCTACATAATACTAATATTTCAGCAACACCAAAACTTATTGTTTACATTAATATTTCAAAATTTTATTATACTCATGTTTTTAAAGTTTTATATGATAAAAATCTTTTTCAATCTGATAATCAATCAAGAACAACCTTATTAGAAATTTAATTCACTTGATATCATTCAAACCAATTATTTTTAGTTGAAAATTTTTTGTATTTCTTTTAATTATTATTCAGATAATATTCATGATAAATAAACAAAATAAATTAATATTTATATTCTTCAGTTTGTTTAGTCGATATTACATAATTATCTAAATTCTCTTGTTATCGATCATTTCTTGTCTTTAATTGTAAACAGATAATTAATAAACTTATTAGATTAGATTGAGTAATAATGTTAATTGATTATAAATTTGATTTATTATCACAAAAAGATTTTTTTATCTAGATAATATTTTGACGATAAAAACTCATAATTCGTTATTATTTGTATCAAACCAGATGAAAAATTGTTTGATTTTTTAAAGATTTTAGAAATAAGAATGCATCAAATGAAATGCAACAAATTATCATTGGAAAAAGCTAATTAGACATAATAAACAATTTGTTCCTATTATTAGTTGTTATGCTACGATGAGTATTATTTTTTTCTTGAATTAAAATAAAACTTTTTTTGATTTTTT